ATTGGGCTAATAAGAGGATTAGGCAATTAAGCTCTCCCAAGCCTGTGCCATCATTCAACGAGATCATGGTTTATCTGTGGCCTAACTCCATATACCTGCCTTTAGCCCATATCCTTTAATACCTCTGTTCAATAAAAATGTATCTACCTCATATTTAACATTAACAACTGATCCAGCATTGACTGCTGTTTGCATAGAAGTGCTTTCTAACATCTCTCCCAACTGATCTGGCCATAATTTTTAGGCTATGACCCAGTTTTAGAATCACTAATCAGTTGAAACAGTTTATCTTTATCTACCCTATCTTTTCCAGTTAATATCTTGAAGACTTTGATTAGAACACCCCTTAGCCTCTTAAATTCTAGAGAAAACAGACTTAATTAGATAGCCTCTCCTCTTAACTTAACCTCTGAAGGCCATGTATCATTCTTGTAAACCTATGTTGTACTCTCTCCAATATATCCTTCCTAAGGTGTGGTGTGCAGATCTGCTCATAGTACCCCAAATAGTGTCAAACCAGTGTTTTGTATAGCTGCAGCATAACTTCTGTGTCTTTATACTGTATTCCTCTAGGCCAGCTTTCCTTCAGCCTTCTTGGTTATTTTCTGCACCTGTATGTGGCATTTTAAAGATTAAGGATTTGAGACTCCAAGTCTCTGCGGACATCCACTGCACTTAACATCTAGAAAGTACCCTGACCCATCCTTTATTGGTCCAAAATGGATAACCTCAAACTTGTTTATATTGAATTCCATCTACCACAGTTTTGACCAACCCAGCCTATCAATATCTCTTCATCAACACTGTACTCAATGCTGCCTAATTTTGTGTTATCAGCAAATTTGGATATATCACTTTATATGCCATCATCCAAGTCATTAATAAATAATGTGAATAACTGAGGTCCTAACACAGATCTTTGTGGGATGCCACTGGTCACATCCTGCCAATTTGAGTTCCTAATCATTATCCCCACTTTCTGTCATCTGTCACTCAACTAATTTCCCAGCGATATTAGTAATTTACCCTCAATTCCATGGGCTTCTATCTTAGTTAACAATTTCTTATGTGGGACTTTATCATGTAACTTCTGGAAGTAAATATAAACAATATTCATAAACATTCTCCTATCCACTACCTTGACCACTTCTTCAAAAAATTCACTCAGGTTTATCAGTATGACCTACTTGTCACAAATCCATGCTGGCTCTCCCTGATTAACTGAAAACTTTCAAGGTGTTCAGTTAGCCCATCCTTAGTTATGGACTCCAACAATTTGCCTACCACAGATGTGAGGCCAACTAGTCTGTAAATCCCTGGTTTTCCTCTTTCATTCTTCTAAAAAGGCAGAGTGAGATATGCAATTTTCAAATCCAGAGGTGACTCCTGTATCTAGTGAACTCTGGAGGTTTATAGTTAGGGCACCTATAACGTGGTCCCCTATTTCCTTTAATGCCCTCATATAAAAACCATCAGGTCCTAGAGATTTATCACTCTTTACTTACATTAATTTTATTCAGTCCCTGTTCCTGATTCACTACTCATTTCCTTGGGACTTCTGGCAAACTATCCTCCTTTTCTACCATAAATATGGAAGCAAAGTAATTATTTAACACAAACACAATAGTCAGTGATCTGGTCAGTCATGTCTAGGGAGTGATCGTCAAAGTTATCGCATGAGAATGTAGAAGGCATGGTTAGTAAGTTGCAGATGACACCAAAATTGGTGGCATAGAAGACAGTGAAGAAGGCTTTCCAAATTTACAAAAAGATCTTGATCAAATGAGTTAATGGTCTGAAAAATGGCAGATAGAGTTCAATCTGGATAGATGTGAGGTATTGCATTTTGGCACAGTTAACACAGGTAGACTTATACAATTAATGGTAGGGCCTTGAGTAGTGTTGTAGAATAGACCACCTACGGATACATGTACATAATTCTTTGAAGTTTGCGTCACATGCAAACAGGGTGGTTAGAAAGGTACAAAAACAAAGTTGCTGGAAAAGCTGTTTGTTTTTGTGCTGGAAAAGCTTAGCAGGTCTGGCAGCATCTATAAAGAAAAAATCAGAGTTAACATTTCAGGCCCGGTGACCCTTCCTCAGTTCTGAGCTTTTCCAGCAACTTTGTTTTTGTTCCTGATTTACAGCAGCTGCAGTTCTTTTGGTTTTTACGTGATTAGAAATGTGTTTGGCATGCTTGTCTTCATTGCTCAGTGGGTATAGGAGTTGGGAAGTCATGTTGAAGTTGTACAGAACATTGGTGAAGCCTCTTCTGGAATACTGTGTCCGGTTCTGGTCACCCAGTTATAGGAAGGATTTTATCATGCTGGAGAGGGTTCAGAAGAGATTTGCCAGAATGTTACCGGATATGGAAGGTTTGAGTTATAAAGAAAGGCTGGATAGACTGGGAGACTTTTCCCTGCAATCGCAGGAAGTGCTACACCTGCCCCCATACCTCCTCCCTCACCCCCATCCCAGGCCCCAAGAAGACTTTCCACATCAAGCAGATGTTCACCTGCACATCTGCCAATGTGGTATACTGCATCCGCTGTACCCTGTGTGGCTTCCTCTACATCGGGGAAACCAAGCGGAGACTCAGGGACCGCTTTGCAGAACACCTACGCTCGGTTCGCAACAAACAACTGCACCTCCCAGTCGCGAACCATTTCAACTCCCCCTCCCATTCCTCAGAC